GGAGAGTAAATCAGGGAAAAAAGAATTAAAAATGTCATGTTCAGGAGCAAACTTCCTCTAATGAATGTGATCATTATGTGTATCTAAAAAACTGACAGTAATTTGTGGGAAAAAAAGAAGTTAAGATCTGCTATGTAAATATACCAACTGCATACAAGTTTGTACTAGTTACAAAATTAAAAAAAAAAAAAAAACTTAGGTGTGAAAAATACTAGAGAAGTAAGAAATTAAGATTTTTTTTTTTTTTAAACCTGAGTTTCAGTTTGTGTTTAAAAAGATCCTTAAGAATCCAGGCATGATGGCACATCCCTGTAGTCTCAGTACTTTGGAAGCTGAGACAGGAGAATCACAGCAAGTCTGGGGCTTGGGCCACGTAGTCAGACTCTGTCTCAAAGCATAAAAAATAAAAATAAAAATAAAGGAAGCAAGCAAGCAAGCCCTGAAGAATGATGAACACCAGTTTGAGGTTACCATGGAAGAAATGTAAAGTGAGAGAAAACAGCAGTTTTGAGTTTATGGCATTATTTCTTAAGCAGGGTGGTGTGTCCAGGGATGTTTGTAATAATCTTTATACCTTTTTGTCTACCTTAAATATTATTAAACTAAACAGACTCCTGTAGCTTTAGTGATCCATTATTTTAGTAATCACAATGACCTATTGTCTTAGTTACTTTCTTGTTGCTAGGATAAAATACCCATCAGCCACAAGTTAAAGTAGGAAAGGTTTGTTTTAGCTCACAGTTGGTAGAGGTTTAAGTCCATTGTCAGCTTGTTCCAATGTAAGGTGGCACAGCAGAGAGGCTTAGAAGAAGAGAAACAGTTCATGGCATGGCAGGCAGGAAGCAAAGCGACTTCCTTCTTTCCCTTTTTATTCTATCCAAACTACAAGTCTGATGGTTGATGCTACCCACACCCAGAATGGGTCTTCTTTCTTTCCATACCAAGAACTACACTAAACAAATTGGCAGACTACTCTGGTACTGTGTACCCATGATCTAGTATCACACACCCGTGATCTAGTCACCCCCAAAAGCCCCATGTATAGCATGCCATTTTGGTAGAACATCTATGTACAAGCCATAGCACCAGTTTATAATGGAAGCTGCAAACTAGTATCTGAGGGCTGGAGTATAGCTTAGTGGTAGAGTGGTTTACTAGCACATACAAGACCCTGGGATCTTTCCCTAGCACCCTAAAAATAAACAAGTGAACAGAATCTAAGGTCTGGTAAGATTCTTCTGTTCATGGCCCTTGACAGCCTTTAGTTGGGGGATTGTTTAATTCTAAGTACCTCGTATGAAGTGTGACACTGTAGATGCACAGATACTAGGATGTGTTCAGTGAGCCACTGAACACATCCTAGCCACTGAACACATTCGTAGTCATGGAAAATAGTTGAACAACATGGATGATACTTAGACCAACGAAGAACTGAGGAAGGGGGATATGATAGTCATCTTTAGCAGCTTGAGGGACTGTCAGGTAGAAGATCCAATAGTTTTCTTCTTCAAAAGACCAACAACAGGGTCATTGGCGGAAGCAGTTTTCAGCACAGTGGAAGGAGGCATATTATAGTTAGCCTGCCTTGTGGTAGATTTGATGATTTGAGAGGTCAGCTTGTCTGCTGAGAGCATCCCAGGATTGCCTATGTGCCCCGCTGATCATGAGAGCCCCTCTTAATTCTTTGATTCCAAACTAATGAAGCCTTCAGCAGTGTGATGTGTTTGAGATTATAATGTAGCATTTTGGTTGAGAAGCCTTTGGGACAGAAATCTTGCCACTTACTAAAGCCATTCAGTTTAACTTCAGATGCTGTGGGCCCCAAGTCTGTGCCTACAAGAAAGTGACATAGGTGATATGACTATTTTCATGGAGCTTGTATGCACACATAAATAGCAGAAATGTGAGTAAGGAAGCCAGAAATTTTGTGAGCTCTTAGAGTGTTATATTGGCCAGGATTCTTTTGACATGCTTTTGGTTGAATAGGGTGTTGTAGTAATGATATTATTTTCAGAGTATACCTTGGTGCATACAGTGTATCGTATTTAGTGGCTAGGTTCAGTGTTGACCTTATGGTGAAATTTGATTCAGTTTTCATTCCAATTCTGTTTGTGACCAGAAATGTAGAAAGAATTAAGTTTGTGAACTGAGGCACCACCGTTGTTTGATTGAGGTAGAAAATCAGAAATTTTGAAGTTGAGGCTGAGGCTAAGGTATTATATTTAGACTAATTTTTACTTTATAAGTTTTAGTCTCTTTTTTTTGTCCTATTCTGACACTACTATCTTATCTTAAGCATGTATTTTCTAACATGCCATTTAAATTTCCTTATTTCTTTCACTGAACTTTTTTTCAGTTATAAATAGTTCCTCTGGGGATTGCCATGAGCATCTTAACTTAAAACAATCTAGTTTGAATTAATACCCACTTAATTCTAATAGTTCTCCAAAAACTCTGCTACAATTACTTTGTTTTATTTATGTTAGTATACTTGGATCGGTGTTCCATGAATCTCTAAGGTTCTGCTTATTTACTTCAGGGTTTTGTTTTGTTTTGTTTTTGTTCGTCCCTGCTAGACAACCTCAACTGACATATTTTTAAATTTTCTGATTATTTTTGTTAGCTCAAATTTGTTATTGAGTGCCTCTAAATAAATATTTGTTCCCTTTACTGTATGTTTCAACTCCAGAGGTGCTATTTGCTTTTTTAAAAAATAATTTCTACTCTACCAATATTCTTTATTTGATGAGACATTATTCTTATATGTTGCTTTTATTTCTTTAGACTTTCTTTCTTTCTTTTAGTATTTGGGACATTTGGAATAGCTGATTTAAAGCCACTGTTTGTTCTTCCTCAGAGACATTTTCTATTGACTTTCCTGTGGGTAGGTCCTCCTTTCTTGTTTCTTTGTATGACTTATACTTTCTTTAAAATAGATAATGTTACATTATTTAAAATAATGTTACATCTCTGGAAACCTGATTCTCCTACCTTCACAGAATTTGCTGTTCTTGCTGTTTGTTGTTGCTTTTGGTTGCTGCTGTTTGTTGAGAGACTTTCCTGCACTAACTCTGCTCTGTGTTCTCTAGATGTGGCCTCTAGGGTCTGTTTGGTTAGCTGGAGAGTAGACAGATTTCTCATTGCATTGAGCCAGTAAGTTGCCTAGCCTTTTTGAGGCAGTCTGTATGCCAGGCACCCCTTCTGCACCCTAGCAGTTTACTGCTCTACCTTATCATTCACTTCCTGCTTATACAGGCAGATTCACATCAGCCAGGTTTGAGAGATCTGGGCAGGACCATAGTGCTATACATATACATGGCATTCTGGACTCCAAGGAATATATATCAGAGCCCTTCGAAGACTTTGTGGATATCCCATTTCCAAGGTTTTTTTTAAAAAGGTTTTTGATCAGCTTCTCATTAGTTTGAACCAACAGCAACTCCTCAGGCAACTTCAGTGTTAAAATTATTTAACACTCTTCTGAACAAATACCTGGCCATGGGACAGAGAGAGGACTGAAGTCAGATAAAGATAAGCTTGGGAATAGAAATTCCCACCAAGCTGTCAGGCAGGTCATGTAGTAACAGTTGTTTCTTTGGGTGTTGGATTTTGGGGGAGTTCTAGTTTTGGAGGAAGGTTCATGATGGTCTTGCCAATAGCTGCCAGCCTACTAGTGTTTATATCACCCATGGTTGTGAGGCTGATTTTCAAGACCATGGAGTTAGAGAAGAGATGGAATAAATGCAAGTTGAAACAGCTCAGAAAGAACAAGGTCAGTTCCTACTGCGATTTAGCCAATGTTTTTTGTCAAATACATGCCCCTTACCAGGTTTCAAGGCTTTCATTAATTTTCAGAGCCCTGAAAAAGTTGATGGTGATCATTTTCGGCAGTACTGTATTCTTAGAGAGGAGAGATTTTTCGAGATCTTTACTCTGCCATCCTGCAGATTAGCTCCCTGTAGTACTTAATCAGCTTAGGTACCCTTGGGCTTTGAGTCTGCCTTGTATGAACTCTCTCTTCCTCTGTCTTACGCTGTCTGGTCTTGCTCCTTTCTCTGAAGTCATGAAGTGGTCCCATGAGCATGTTAAAGAGCACATATTCTTGTAAACTACTGATCCTAACCTTCAGCTTATCAGGAATGAGTTTTGGCTTTCGAATAGGCAGCAAGCCTAGAGCCTTTGATCTTGTGTTACCAGCACATGGTGTAAACCAGATCATGTTGGTCTGTTGCTTTGGTTTCTTATCTTGTCAGCAGAGTCCATCTTTTGCAGTCTGATCAAAATTATACATTATTCTGCGATGAAGTAAATCCATTGTTCCCTTAAGTTAGAGTTGGAGAATAAAGTACTAATAGCTGAAACAGCCATTCCTATAGATACTGTTGGGATTTGAAATTTGGGCCAAATAGAACATTAATTTCTATCAGACCTTAGCAGTCCTGGTTAACAGCTTGAGTTTTATGTTAAATATCTTCTAAAATCTTAAGTTCTCACATATTCATAAATTAAAATTTTCTATATATCCAGAAATTTGACTTATGGGGGTTTATTTTATTATAGTTATTTTATTATAGGCCATTCATCTCCTGTTCTGTATAAAACAGGAATACTATATATAAAACAGGCCATTGGTGAATGTGATTCTGTTCTGAAAGACCATGTATGATTATGTATGTAGCTAACTACCATGTTTACAAAGTTTGGGTTTTTGCTATGTTTTATATATTTGTGTACTTTTTTCCTCTTTCATTTGTTAGGTCATAATTTAAGCAGGCAGTCTGAAATGTGATATTACATGGTGCTGCAACAGTTTTGAAATCTTGAAAGATAAAACTGGAAACATTTGCTTGTATTTTTTTCCACCTCAGAGTGTTTTGTTAATGAGACATTTTATACTGCCATAAACCCAAGGCAATAATATAGGTGTTGATTGATTTTTGGATGGCAAAGGGCCTCTCTAATTGCAGAGTTTGACATTTGTGTCACTTCTGCTGTTCTAGGTGAGCAAGACGTGGAAGGTGATTGCTGAAGATGAGGTGCTGTGGTACAGACTGTGCCAGCAGGAAGGACACCTTCCGGAGAGCAGCATCTCGGATTATTCATGCTGGAAACTCATCTTCCAAGAGTGCCGAGCCAAGGAACACATGTTAAGAACCAACTGGAAGGTAGGCGGTGTCCAACAGCGTTACCTGTGGCAGACTAGCACAGAGGGACATGGAGGCCAAGCCTCTCATTACTGTGGAGGCTGACTGCCAGAAGCAAAGGGCGCAGGCTTTGCTGTGCAGCCCCCTTTGGCTGTCAGTGACTTGTTGCATGTTGTTCTCTCTTGGAAGATCTGTTCGTGTTGCATCCACAAGGTTTGGGGGCCTTTACTGCTGTCCAGGAGAAGAAGGCTGAGCTTGAACTGCCTCTGACTTCCCCTTTGCTGGCTAGAGTCAGTGGAGTTACGCGCAGTGTAGCCTCCCTTCATCTTCATCACTCCCCCCCACGGGCAGAGAAGGCAGAAGAGAAAGCACACCAAAGGACGGCAGGTGCCACGGCAGTAGCTCTGAGAGGGAGGTTGTTGCATGGCTCTTCCATCATGTAGCCCATTGGCGTGCTGCCCTAGCATTTATCACTTCAAGTCTCTACAGAAATATTAGATCGCAGCTAAGAATTTGCCCAGAGAAGTGTTTGTGTAGGAGATAGCTGTTGAAAAACATGTCACATAGGGCTGTGTGAGGCATGACAAGGCAGCAGCACTTCTTTCCCACGTGGGCAACTGGATAGCTTGTAGAGAAGGGCTAGAACTGTCCACTTTTCTCATCTGTTAAGGTCGATTCTAATAGACTTTGAGATGAACAAGCTTTTGCTCAGTACTGATGGTGACATATTGCCAGTGTGCATTTCTGTCCCTAGTCACCTCATAACCTGATTAGTGACCAATGAGCTCGATCAGGGCAATCTCATGCATTTCCAGTAACATCAATGAGAGCAGTGTTTCTCTAATTCAGGGTTGCTCACACCAGCTTGAATGACAGTAGGTCAGCTCATTGTTTGTGTGGAGGGAGTGTCCTATGCATTGCAGAACATCTAGCCACATCCCTGGCCTCTGCCCACTACACTACAGTTGCATTCTCCTCTCCCTGGTGCTGACAACTCAAAAGGTCCCCAGATGTTGCCAGATTGGGTGTGGGGAGCAATTGCCCTGGCTGTGATCAGCTGATCCTCAGGAGAATTAGCTAAGCTTTTGTTTTAGGGTGTTAAAACACTACTGCTAAATAAAGTCACGCCGGCCCCCTGGTGTCCGTTTACATCCACAGCTCTGAACGAAGTTACAGGATTGGCAAAGCTGCCCAGAAAAATGATTCTGGGGTGGGGCAGAATGCAGAGGGTCTGGTCCTAGTGATAGGGGCCAGAGTTTAAGGAAAACTTGAGCTTTGGCCTTTCTGTTCAGAAAGAAGGGATAATTTCCAAATTTGTGAGCATGAGAGCTGCAGACATTCATTATCCCCTGGCTCAAATTTAGAGATGTCATACCCTGAAAGAAAGCAGCAGCCAAGTTTTTGCTTCCTCTTTGGTGGTAAAGAAACCTAGGAAGGCAGGCAGTGGCTTTTCTTTGGATGAGAGGTGGCAGAAGCCAAAGGTGGTTAAAGGCTCACCTCATGGCTTGTGATAGCTAATAACAGTTTATAAGGTAGATGCAACTTACTGAACATTTATGTTTTTTTTTCTGTCACACACAAAACCATGTGAGCTCAGCAAGTGGTCATCAATTGAATGAACTGCTTAGAACTGCAGGCAGAATGGCAAGGATGCTTTTGGGATTTCAGACCCAGTTCATGAAACAATTAACAATGAGGACTGCATGGGGGAAATTTTAAATGGAGTCTTGTTACATGTAATAATGATATTCTGAGTATAATTCTAGAAGAAAAGAATGTACTATCAAAATATGAGAGAGAATGAAGGCAACTTGCTTAACCTTTGCATGCCTGCATTTTTCTCTTCTTTAGAGTGGGGTGAGAGTGGCAGTGTTCCTGGCTGTGGTGTGAGTGACCATCATGATGCATCTATTTCCCATTCCCTCTGCAGAGGCTGGCCTGTGCTCTGTGCTCAGGCAGTTAGCTCTGGAAACTCGTAAGCCTTTGTATGCAGACACCGTGATTCCATTCTGTCTGTGATCAGCTTCAGGAGGGTGATTTGGATTGATATCTCCTAGGTCAGTGTCTGGAGAAACCCCAGAAGGGACCCCAGAGTTCTCAGGTTGCTCTGTTTAGAGGATGACTTATAAATGCATGAATTGCGTGGTCCTGAAGTTCAGGGTGGACTTGGCTTGATAAAATGGGCTTGTTTCCTTTCCTAGGGTTTATGCTTCCTTTTTTTCACCCTCACATGCTAGGATCTCTCTGTAGCTAGAATATCAGTGTGGAGTTGGAGCCCATGATGGGGAGGGGAGCCATAGGATGGAAATTAGTAAGTGCTAGAAGCATATAGATTTCGTCTTGAGCTTTCCTTTTCTTTCAATGCTTTCTGAAGTGCTCTTCTACTGTAAATGTGTCTGACCAATCCCCCCACCCCCATGGCTCTATTTGCTGGACAGCTCTGCTTGGGTGTGTTCATTTTGTCCCTTGCTTTAGCCTTGGCCCTTGTATTAAGTTAGGATCATTCTGCAAATTATGTTGCTTAATTTTTGGAGTATAACTGCTTAATAAGTGTTGATTTTAATGGAATGGATGTCAATAATATAATAATACTAGTAGCTATTACTTACTGAACATTTGCTGTGGGCTAAAAGCTCTGCATGGTACTTATGTACACCATTTATAATTCTTGCGCATGACCAGCAAAACTGAAATTATGGATCACTTAATTGCTTTTGAATATTGTACCTGTATTTACGATTGCTTTTGGCTTAACTATCGTAACTCTTCCCAACCTTAATACCTTTTGACATATGCCTTCAAATTCTTTTCACTGTATTTTTATTTTAAAGATAATTGTTTTATATCTGTTTGCTGAACCAGTAATCAGCTGTCATGGTAAAATAATTAAAAGTCATCCAGGTACATAGTAGAAAATACTGTCTTAGGTTTAGGGTTTTCCTGTGAATGAATTTGTTTTTATTTTTATCAGAGTTGAGTTTTCCTGTGTTTCCCAGGCTGATCTCGGACTCCTGATACTTTTGCCTCCGTGGCCTTGGTAGGGACTACAGGTGCGTGCCGCCACCGCGAGCCTCCGGCTTCGCTTAGCCTTCCCTGTCTTCCCTCTTTTCTGCTCCCTTCCTTTTTCTTTTGTACTGGAGGCTGCATCTTCTAAGCAAACACTCTACCACTGAGCTATACTCCCAGCTATTTTATTTTATTTTCTCTTTTGAGACAGGCTTTCACTAATTTGCCCTAGTAGGCCTTGAATTTGTGGATCATACTGCCTCAGTTTACCAGGTGTGTGCCATCCTAGCTAGGGTTCTTTTTAAAGACCATTTCTGTGAACCCTCTGACCTTTCAGTCAGAAGGGTCATTTTTTTTTCCTTTTGTCCACTCTGACATTTTTCCATCTATATAGGTTTTCATTTTATTCATAGAATTCTTTTTTTTTTTTTGTATTGGGGATTGAACTCACCACCTCATGCTCGCTAGGCAGGCATTTATGTGACTGAGCTAAATCCTCATCCCTATTCATACAATTCTTGTAACTATATCGTTACTGTTTCTTTAATAGACAGAGCCTTTTAATATAGTTTATACAGGTTTTCAGGCACTTGTGACTACCAATGGGTGCTTACCAGCAAGGGTGGGTGTCCGGAGCCGCTTCCGTCCCGCGGAATGGAGCACACGAACACTCAGCCTCTGCAAGCACCTTTATTGACTGGGCAGCAACCTCAATACATGTCCGTCCTTGACGGCTTCTTCCGTGTTGTGCGTCGGGCACTTCCTATACTTGGGCTTATATAGCTAATGTTATCCAATCATAGGATTACACGTGGGGACAGGCGATTGGGCGGCAACAAGGAAGCAATCAATCATTACCATATATGGCGGGGACAGTAAGCCGAGCAAGAACCAGGAAGCAGGATGTGTGTGCCATCTTGGGCACACGATGGGCGGGGGAGCAGCGAGGCGGTAGGCGGGTGCCATCTTATGAATATGCTCTCACGGATAACATGGCAGGCTCCCAACAGGTGGGCGTTATTTATGTACACATATTTCTGTTGTACTTGGTGATCTCCTAGAGGACAGGACCAGCACTTCACACATCTGTGCCCTATAGCTCATTGCTTTTTGTGGGTGTGGTCACTCTGACATACTTAGTAGTTACCTTTGTCATTTTGAATGCCCACCTAGCTTGAATGTGGCATGTGCCATAGAAAATCTCTGTAGAGTATGGATGACGGTGCATCTGCCTCCTCGATATCCCAAGAAGAGTATAAACAGCACCCCCTTTTCCTTTCACAGAATCGCAGAGGCGCCGTGAGCGAGCTGGAACACATTCCCGAGGCAGTTTTATGTGATGTGCATTCTTACGATGGTGTTGTCATTGCTGGGTAAGCAAAATCATTTCAGCTAATGCCCTTTGTCTCATGATCTTCCATTTTTCATTTTTCCTCTGAGCACCAGTGATTTCTCTTCCCTTGAGAATGTATACCATCCTCAAGAGAGCCCGTGCAAGATGGAAGACCTCTGTGATTCCCTCCTTTAGGATTCGAGAGCTCAGCAAGGCAGCTGGTGGTGAGAAGCAAATGGTGTCCAGCAGATCTGTAATCCATTTGTCTCAGACATGGTGGCATGTTATGTTAGATTTTCATTAAGGCAAACAGTTTGTATTTTATGAAGACATAAAAGAGTCAAACAAGAATAATAAGAACAGGGCCTGTGCATACACTCTCCTGAAGCCTTTATTATGAATAAGGGTTGTGGCCACACATAACCTTCCTTCCCTACCACATAGTATGTATTTGCTTCTTAACTTATTCAGATCTAGGCTTTTTATGTGTCTCTATGACCAATTAATTTTAGCTTCTGTAAATTCTTTTGGCTTCTGTTCCAAAAGCCAGTTCATGAATTCTTCAAATTTTGCTGTTCAGAGGTACATTTATGTTTCTTTAATGTGCAATAAGATCAGTTTTCTTTCTCAATTAGGAAAGTATCTTGAGCTTCAGTATAAAATTGTAAACTTTGGCAATCTCAAATTATATGCCAAAAGGAAGAGATCAGAATCCTTAAACTTCTAAGTCTGGATCAGCTTTTGAGTGAGCACCAATTTGCAGGAGACTAAAAACAAAAACCAACCTTGGACTTTAACAGTTAGTAGTCATTGAGTCACTTTATTAAAGAAAGAAAAAAAAAACTTTAGTATGTCTTCAGGAACACTATTTGAAATGAAATTACCGCTTATTTAAATATTTTGGTTTACCATACCCGTGAAAAATTATTTCTGTTTTAAACAAAATATGCCTTGGAGGGACACTTATTTAGCTTTGGTTTTACTAGCTACAGTTTAGAGGTTAATGTTCTTGAGAGAGCTGTAGAACTGTTAGTTTTAGAAAAGCTAATAGACCAGAAATCTGGAATTCTGTCCCTCCCATTGTCAGAACGATATCAGGCTTTTGCCCTCCTTGCTAAAATGTAGACCTTAGAGCTCGCCTTGTGCATGGCGCTTCCCCTGAAGTGCACTGAGAGTCAGGTGACTGCACAGACACTTTAGGTCATCCAGGCTTAACATGGTCTCTGCCTAGGGGTGACCAGGTGCTTGAGGACAGACCGCTGAGAGTGACTTAAAAAGGAAAAAGACAAAAAAAAAAAAAAAAAAAAAAAGCCTAAGTAAGAGAGGTTAGAGGTAAAGGAGAGGCTTTCTTCCTGAGTGCCAGTTACAAGTCTCTTATCTGCATGGGGAGCTCCTGAAAAGAAAGGCAGGCCAGGCCTGCTCTGCGGCCAGGTGCCGGTTGTCTCTCTCTGCTCCCTGGGGGTCTGTTCAGCATTAAAGATTAGGCTGCACAAAGCACAGCCATGGCAGAGTTTGTGGATCGAAAGATGAAACTTGAGCCATGGATCAGGGAGGCTCCTTTTCTAAGAGAACCTCACGTTTATGGCTTGGAATGAGATCCTTCAATCTTGCTTGTATGTAGAGCATCTTGTGTTTATCATTAAAATTTTATCTGGTGGTTACGATGCTTGTTTTCTGGATCAGATCTTGAGTCCCTTTTCATTTGAGACAGCAGTGTTTGTGGTTACCTCATTCCCAATCAATGCTGTATTCACCAGGCTTTCTACAGTTATGCATCTCCAAGGAGCTTCTTAAAGAGACAGTGCCACCTCACCTTCCTTTTTCTTATACTTATTTTTCTTCTTCCTTCAGTTTTCTCTTTCCTTTATACAAGTGGAATCTGTTCAGAGGCTTATTTTGTATAACTATAGACCATGTTTTTATTTAAGCCTATTATACATATATAATTGGTAGAAAACAGGCTTGTAAAATCTCTTGTTTTTTCCTACTTTTTTTGATCTCTATAAATACTCTTGGTTTGGGGTTGGGTTGCATAGACCTAACCTCATTTTTCTTACACTTAGCTGTTCAATCAGCCCTTCTTTAATCTTCATGCAAAACCAGAGAAACTGTGAAATAGACATTCTTTCACTCATGAACTGACTTGGTTGACTTTGCAGTGTCTATCATGTGGACGTGACCGGCCCCCTTTCATCTGAGCTGGTTTGTCCAGTCATGTGCAGACAGTGTCCTTCAAGCTTTTGATCTTCCTTTCTTTTATCTATGAGTTCTTGCTTTCTTTATTATTTTATGAACAATTTCCGGTTACCCTTTATGTTATAATTCTTTGAAATCTGCATCCAGTGTACCTTTTTCCTCATTACTCTTAAGTGCATCTTGAGTTTGTCTCACTGTTCTAATTAGTCACCATTGACCACATCTTTTTTTAATTGATAAAATTCACTTACCTGTAAACTCACACTTTTAAAGTGTAAAATTCAGTGATTCTTAAATAAATTCACAAGATTTTGTAACTGATACCACTATCTCATTCCAGAACATCCACTCCATCCCCCCCCCCCCCCCCCCGTAAAAAACAAACCCAGCCACCATCCTGAAAGGCCCAGTGTTGTCCCGTCTCCTCCTACAGGCGTCTCCTCCTACAGGCTTGGGTGCCACTTTCAGGGAGTAGTGGCTCCGCCCTCTACTCTTTTCATAATACCCAGAGAAGTGATTATTTGCAGCAGTATAGAGCAGCAAATAGCGTGACCTTATCTCCTCTAGACATTTTTATTTCATGTCGTTATTTTACTTAGGAAATAACTTTAAAGTTTATAGCTGGGAATTTTTTCCAGTAATTTTAAGCATCTTTTAAAACTGTGGGTGGCATGCAGTATTCCACTAAAGCTCTATAGTGCTTTTGTACTGTTTGGAATGGAGTAGTGCTGCATTTAATACACAGGTGTCCCTTCCCCTACCACTTCCATCTACCACTTGGGGAGCAATACCTATTTTCTTTTGTCTGTTGTCTATAACTTCTTTGTTGCTTCAACTTAAAAATCATAGGGCTTTTTTGTTGTTGTTGTTGTTTTGTTTTGTTACTGGGGATTGAACTCATGAGCTCACCCTTGCCAGATATTCACTTGTGCCACTGAGCTAAATCCCTGACCCCATAAAAATCATAGTTTTAAACCTGGAAGGGACTGTAGAGATGATCTAGTTCCAGAATACTTGTTCAGTATGAGGTAGCAGAGGCTCAGAGCCAGAGCCACCCTGTGCTTCTGTGACGTCCATATGCAGTCTGTTTTTGCTGTCCTGAAGCCTTAGTTATACAGTATCATTCTGGTTTTTCTCTTGTGATAGGCATCTTTTCTCTTTAGAAAAATAGAGCAATGAAACTATGTTAGTTTTGCAAAACATATTAGGAAGTGGAGAAGAGAACGCCACTTAAATCCCACCTGCTACTATTTTGGGGTGTGTGTATGATTTGATTTGCAGACTGTGTTTTTATACAACTCTTTTTACATAATACATTCATAATGTGCATTACATTTTTGGCCTTTTTAACCTCACTAAACTAGTAAGATTTTTAAAAAATTTTATGTTACTTTTCATTACCTTGATTGCAAAATTCCATGAGTAACTATATGTAGATTTTCTCACTTATTCATCTAGTAGTGGTTGTCCTAATAAATTCCTGTTTTATTATATAATTACACATCATTTAACAATGGGAAGATGTTCTGAGAAATGGGTCAGTGGTCAATATCATAGAATGAATGTCCACAAACTAAGGCAGCTGTTCTACTACGAGGCCACATAACTTGCTGGACCACCATCAGCTGTGAGGTCTGTTGCTGGCCAGAATGTTGTCATGTGGTAAATGCCTGTGTAATGTTATAAATACTACATAGATAGAGGTTTGGCAGTTTTTATTTTTAGACTACAAATATTTTTGTTTAAAAATTATAAATACCTGCTATTGTAGATACTTTGAATTTCCTGTAAGTGTGTAGGGTTAAATAATTTTTCTATTGTCCTTGCATTTCTGATTACTTTCTTGGGCTACAGTTCAATAAGTAGCGTTACTGGATGTAGAGGAATGAATTTCTATGATTTTTTCAGATTAAGAAATTATTTTAAAATGTTTTCATAGTTTTTCAACTTCTTTCCCATTTGGCTTTTTAATTTGAAGTCTCCAAGCCTTCCCTCAAGCTGGGTGCTGAATATCCCTCCTCCTTCCCTGTCACTGCCAGAAATAACAAGATGCCCTGAGTGGTCACTGGTGACCTTCTGGTATTTTTTTTTTTTTTTTTTTGTCTTTTTCCTTTTTATCGGTACCAGGGATCGAACTCATGACTGCCTGCTTGCAAGCAGGCGCTTATGCCACTGAGCTAAATCCCCAGCCCCTCTGGTATTTTGAGCCCCTTGACTGTGTTTGATGCCATTGGCTGCACCTCTCTGGATGTGGTAGGGATCATGTGTCAAAGATCTTTGCACTCTCGCAGCTTGACCTCGGTCCTACCACCCAGGAACCACGGAGAAAGTGTGATGGGATAAAGACCTCATGCCCTGTAAGGCCTCACTGTGACTGACTCCGCCCCACCCATGCTACTTCTCTGATTGTCTTTTGCCTCTCTGCAATCTCCCTTGGGTGCTTAGGAACAACATGCAGCATCCCAGAAAAATGACTGAATCAGGAGAAGTTCCTTCTAATTGTGAGCACTTCACCTGTAACACTGAATTTCTTTTCCATCTTAAACTTCTCCTTGTTTTAACTTGGGAAAAGTTTACATTTAGGAGTTCACCAATGTCCAAAAAATAAACCACCTGACTTTCTTTGAAGGCCATGTCTGTGTGCATTTTCTGTGTAATCTGGTGGAGCTCATGAGATTCTGTATGTGTCTTTCTTGTGTTTTCGAGGTGATGTTATCTAGAAAGTTGATTGAAAACAAGAGATCAGGGATTGTGTCTTCTGTTTGCTCTCCCCGCCCCTTTTTCTTTTGTTGGTGGTGGTAATGACTCAGAATTTCAGAGGTTTTTTTTTTGTTTTTTTTTTAA